GTTCCAGCCTCATGGTGATCAGGTTGAAAGCACTGTCTCTACCTTTGGCAAAGGTAGCTGAAGATAATTTTTTGGCCGGAAACTCGGTGAAACTTTGACATAAAATTTCTTGATGCTTCAGTATAAATCCCACCTCCGAGGTTGCGGATGGCAAGTTGGCCGGATTAGTTGCCACTTCACTCGAGTCAAATACAGGTATGTCTAAATCCATTGCATCTTCACAAAGAGTGACTTGATCTTCAGATCCTATGATAGAAAGCAAAAAAAATCAGTGAGATTAAGTCAACAAAGATTGGTTTTGGGTATGCATGTCCATGTCTTACTCTGAAGAGTACCCGGGCGTGTGTAATATATAAACTGACCCATTTGGTTTCTGGTGAGCTGACTGAGAGGTTCCACCGTGGGCTCAAGTGCCTTTTGAGACGTCACGTCAGGAGGGATATTCTCTCCACCGTCCAAGTTAAGGTTTTCCGATGTGAGATCAGGAACAGGATTGTGTGAATTGAATTGCACCGGGGAGATTTGAGCACGTAGATCACTCTGTGCGGCCTGTGGACCTTGTTCAACATCTGCAGGTAATGAGTCAGGCAGAACTTGGCCTGAATGACTGTGGGTAGCCTCCGAATCCTTAGGAGGAGGTAAATCTTCATCAGACCGTTCCAAAATCGGGGACATTCGTGGTTCCTTCGTCCGCGCAGGTGATGATAGTGGTGGAGAGAGTGGTTCACCATCAATATCTGAGGGTGGATCTTGAATGATCATCTTGCTTCCATTCGGTTTGAGTGAGTGGCTTGGAATAATTTCGTCTTCTTCTTCGCTTTCATCTTCTATGAGTGATTTTGAGGACAGATGATTTTTATCTTCGGTGGGTACTGAATCCTCAACTCGGTTATTTTCTTCCACCACCTCCACCTCCTCCTTTTCGTTTTCCTTCTCTCCCTCTTCCTCTTCCTCTTCCTCATCATCGTCATCCTCAGCATCCGCATCTTGTTCCGAATCATGCTCGTGGTTCGAAACAGGGTCCCTCGGTTTGGAAGCCAGGTTCAACCGGGTCCTTTTTGATCGGACCTGTGTTCCTGAATAGGAAGGCGGGTCATCTCGATTTCGGTCGGACCGTCTCCGGTTCGGCGGGGGTGGGGAATCATCAGTTATCCAGATAACCTTGACGTTTGGGCGCGTAGGAGGTTGTTTTCCTCGTTCTACGTCTACGGAGAGCAAAAACAAGGGTCAGTCAACATCTATAAAGAAATATAGTTGACTGGTACCTTTGGAAGCATCGTCACATGCTTT